GGAGCAGCTAGCAGGGCAGACAGCCTCTGGCAGGCCCCTGGGAGCAAAGGCTTTGTCTGAGCCGGTGTCTCCGAGCTGGGCCTGCCGGCCAGAGGCCTCAGGAGCGCAGCTCTCGGTCTCCGGGCCCAAGTGCCCCGGGCAGCACAGCGAAGGGTAAATCCAAGGGAAGGAGGGTGCCGGGAAGCACTGGGCCTGGCAGCTCAGAGCCCAGCACCTCTGGGCCTGGCAGCTCAGAGCCCGGCACCTCTGGGCCCAGCAGCTCAGAACCTGGTACCTCTGGGCCTGGCAGCTCAGAGCCTGGCACCTCTGGGCCTGGCAGCTCAGAGCCTGGCATCTCTGGGCCTGGCAACTCAGAGCCCGGCACCTCTGGCCCCTGCAGCTCAGAGCCCAGCACCTCTGGGCCTGGCAGCTCAGAGCCCGGCACCTCTGGGCCCAGCAGCTCAGAACCTGGTACCTCTGGGCCTGGCAGCTCAGAGCCTGGCACCTCTGGGGCAGGCCCCCTGACAGGCAGTATCCGCACTGGGGGCCCAGCTGACAGGTCTGCACCAGGAGACGGAGGCAGCCTGGGCCCAGACGCCAGAGGGACGTGGGAAGAGACAGCGCTCGGCCAGGCCATGACCCGCACTAGGAGCCTGCAGCCCGGGCCCTGCAGTGTGGTCCAGCCGGCTAACACCGTCGGGCTGGGAGCTGCTGCGGCCAACACATCTGCCCATGCCTCAGTCCAGGCCACGGAGATGCCTGGCCCGGCGCAGACAGGGAATGTGGGTCCAGAGCAGGGGGAGCCATTGAGAGCACAGGAGGGGAGGGGGCTGCCAGGTGTGGAGGGGGGAGGGGCTCACATCTGGCTGCTGCTGCTCTTTGGAAACCGCTGGATCGAATCTTGTCCCGTCCGCTGCTGCCTCCTGCTGGCAGCTGGGGATCAGGGTCTTTCATCCCCTTGTTTTACCAGAGGAAAGGAGAACGGGGAGGCCCAGGCTCGGCTTTGCAAAGGCCGTTGGGCTTTGCGGTGCACAGCGTTGCAGGGCCTAACGGATTTAGGAGCCCAAATCCCAGGGACGGTCGATGGCATTTAGGCCCTTAGTGCCTCAGTCACTGTGGCTCCTAAATCCATCAGGCCTTGCAGTGCTGAGCACAACCGCTCCGAAGCGCCTTTGCCAAAGCGGGGACGTCTCTCCAGCCTCTTTGGAACCCCCCTTCAGGAAGTCGCAGGCTGCTCTCAAATCCCCCCTCGCTCTTCTTTTCTGCAGACTGAATAAACCCCAATCCCTCAGCCTCTCCTCAGAATTCATGTGCTCCAGCCCTCTCATCTTTTTTTGTTGCCCTCCGCTGGACTCTTTCCAATGTGGCCACATCCTTTCTGTAATGGGGGGTTGAGAACTGGGCGCAATACGCCAGATGTGGCCTCACCAGTGACGAATAAAGGGGAATAATCACTTCTCTGGATCTGCTGGCAATGCTCCTACTAATGCAACCTAATGTGCCATTCGCCTTTTTGGCTACAAGGGCCCCCTGTTGACTCATAGCCAGCTTCTCATCCACTGTAACCCCCAGGTCCTTTTCTGCAGGTTCTCACTCTCTTGCCTGGGGTTCTCAGTTTATCTTTCTGGGCCTCTTTCTTCCCTCCCATTCCATGAAACAGGAAGGAGAGCACTTCACTAGACCCGCTTCGCAGATGGGGAGACTGAGGCACAGCAGGAAGTGATGTCATACAGGTCTAGTGGTGCGACCTGGGAGTCCGGAGGCCTGGGTTTGGTGAGGCAGGCTTCCTCTCTTTGTGTTTCCACCTGGGATCTCACTATTTTAACCTTGGCTGGAGCAGTCAGCATCCTACACTGCCAGGACAGTTGCGAGACCTGGGTGTGTGATAGGCTGGCAAGGTGTCCCCATGGGCACATCCTCAGTGTTTGTTAGAGCTGGTATGGTTATTGGCCAGCCCCACAAGTACTGAAGATGGCTGTGTGACAGGCCTCCGCCACTGCACCCACCGGGTAGCAGTGTGGCCCCCATTGGCTTGCTAGCTGCACCCTGGCATGGATTAACAATTCTGCAGGCTCAGGGCTGGTAGATTCTGTGACTCCTGCTAGGCTCTGGAGGGGGAAAAAACGAGGGGATTTCTGTGCAGGAGGTGGCACAGGTTGAGGCAGGGATGGGGATACAGGAGGGGGTGAGGGTTCTAATTGGGGGTGCGGGCTCTGAGGTGAGGCTGGAGATGAGGTGTTGGTGTGCAGGAGGGGGCACCACGCTAGGGCCAAGAAATTGGGGCGTAGGGCGGGTTCAGGGAAGGAGCTTGGGGTCTGGGTAGGGTGCAGCAGGGGGCTGAGAGTTGGGCTGTGGGGTTTAGGAGGCAGCTAAGATGCTGGAGCAGGCTCAGGCCTGGCTCTCATGGTTGGGATCTGGAGGAGGGTTAGGGTGCGGGAGGGGGCACAGGCTTGCAGTGGGGGTCAGGGTGCAGGAGGGGTCAGGGCTAGGGCAGGCGTAGGGTGGGGGTGCTTACATAGGGCAGCTCTTCTTTGGGGGAACAGGTGGCTCTGTGTGACACACGCTCCCCTGCAGGCACCGCCCCCATGTTAGGGCAGCCTCAAGCATCGTTCTGAGCCAGTGATGGGCCCGTGGGGCTCTCTGTGTGGCCCACGAGACACGTTGCTAGGCGTGGGGTTGCCACTGCTTTCCATCTGCATCCTTTTTCCCTACCGGCGTTACTGAAGGGACCCACTGCCACGGGATGTGGGGGAGTCACCGGGCCCTGCTCCTCCATCCCCCCCAGACGTAACTCTGAGTCAGCAAGTGGAAGAGAGTTCCGTTCACTGACAGGGACACCGCCTAGCACAGGATCCTTGTTCCAAGAACCAGGGGCATTCAGTACAGTCCATCTCAGGGAAAGGGGGCCTGGAGTCACAGCTCTGCACCCCTGCCCTGGCCTCCCAGGCCAGCTAGGATCTCTTCTCCCCCCGCCCGTCTGCCAAAAAAAAACCCCAAAAAAACCCTCCCACTGCCAGCAGCTCATCAACGAGCCCCACCTCCTGATCTGTTCCCTTTCCTGGGTCCAAGGTGTTATCTACTGTCCCCTGGCCCACAGGACGTGAGAGGCTGCACATTCTTCCCCAGAGAGTCATAACTAGCTCCCCCCCCTTGTCCAGATAGGGTTAAAGTGTCCAGGGAAACTGAGGCACCCATAGAGTCATGACAGAACAGCACAGAGGGGGAGCTGAGTTAGACTGTGACTGGACAAACTTAAAATACAAGGAATAAGGAATAGGCTAGCATCACCTTAAAGACTAACAAAACATGTAGATGGCGTCATGAGCTTAAGTGGGCACAGCCCACTTCTTCAGATGACTGGAGTATAAAAAGTCCAGTTCCAAAATAAATAGGGAATGGGGCGGGGGGAAGGATGGGAAAAATTAGAGTGCTCACATTACAAGAAGTTGATAGAGATGGTGCAAATTGTTCTTAAGTGCCCATTGGTTGGTTGGTAAAGTCATTGGAGGTACGTCTAGACTATATGGCTCCGTCGACGGAGCCATGTAAAATAGTTTACTCAGCATAGTCAATGAAGCCGGGATTTAAATAATCCCTGCTTCATTAAAATAAAAATGGCCACCGTGCTGTGCCGACAATCAGCTGATCCGGCACAGCATGGCAGTCTAGACACGGCGCGGTTGACAAGGGAAGCCTCTGTTGACCTCTCCGGTATGCCTCGTGAAACAAGGCGCCTCATTCCACGAGGACTTAGTTCAAATTAACATTTCACTGCTGCGTGTAGCCGTGCGGCAGTGAGTTTGGTATAGTGAAATTTCAAAATGGCGACTGGACGGGAACATGCAAATAAAGCCCCCCAGGCTGCATTTGCAACTCTGGTCGCCTCATTTGCCTACCAAGCTCGAATTAACGAGCTAGTGTAGACATACCCATACAGACAAAGAACCATTGGCACCTTCACTGTTTGGTAGGCTAATAATATCCCAGTCACCAGTATCTTTATTTAAGCCATTAGCATGAGTATCAAACTTGTGAATGAGTTGTAGTTCCAGTCCTTCCCTGTGTATTTGGCTTGTGGAATGAGTCTGTAACAAAACAGTCACTTGAAGATCTGATAACTAACGCCCAGGCAGATTGAAGTGTTCCCCAACAGGTTTTTGCATGTTCCCTTTAGGGATATCTGATTTGTGCCCATTAATTCTTTCCCGTAAGGACTGTCCAGTTTGTCCACTATGTATCGCAGTGGGGTATTGCTGGCATTTGATGGCATAGATCACATTCCTGGAAGTGCAGGTAAATGAGCCTCTGATTTGATGGCTGATGTAGCCGGGTCCAGTGATGAATTCGTTGGTATAGATATGTGGGCAGGGTTGGCACCACTGCCGATTGCAGGGCTGGGTTCCGGGATGTTTATGATGTGGTTGAGTAGCATGGTTACCGGGGTGAATTTGTTTCAGGTTGTCTGTATGCGAGAATAGGCCTTTCCCCCATGGCCTTTGAGAGCGCGGGGTCATTTTCCAAGATAGGTTGTCGATTGTGGATAATGCGTTAGAGAGGTTTGAGTTGTGGACTGTAGGTAATGACAAGTGGAATTCTGTTATTTTCTCCTTTGGGTTTGTCTTGAAATAGTTCATGTCTGGGTACGTTTTTGTCTTTATCAATCTGTTTCTTCACTTCTCCAGGTGGATAGTTCAGTTTTAGGGATGCTCTATATAGATCCTGTAGGTGTTTGTCTCTCTGTGGGATCGGAGCAAATCCGGTTGTATCTTAGGGCTTGGCTGTATACAATAGATTGAGAAATGTGTCTGGGATGGAAGCTAGAAACATGAAGCTAAGTGTACCCATGCCTTTGTGATAGGTCCCAAACTTGCCAAGGAAGTTAAATCCCAACGCTTCCCTGTGTATTTGGCTTGTAGAATTGGCCTGAAACAATTCAGTGACTTTCTGATCTGTTAATGAGTGCCCGGGCAGGTTAAAATGTTCTCCAACAAGTTTCTGTGTGTTGCATTTTCAGATATCTGATTTGTGACCATTAATTTTTTCCTGCAAAGCCCAGAGCCAGCAGCATAGAAACCAGCCAGGTACCCCCACTACGTCACAGAGGGGCACTGCAGGCATTTTAGCAGCTGCCCAAGCCTGTCCAGTTTGGCCAATCTACATGGCAGAGGGGCACTGCTGGCATTTTAGCAGCTGCCTTTTGGGGCAAAAAAGTTGAAAAGAGCAACCAGTCCACAGCCTGCAATTCTGTGTTTGGAGTCAGCTGGACGCAGGGATAAAGGGGGAACCAAGGAGAGTAATAGAGAACTTGAAGGCTTTAGGAGGAGCCCCAACTAGAATGGAGCAGCAGGAAGGACTATGGGGAAAACTCCACGGTCCTCACTCCCATACAGCCACCCCAGCCAGAACACTGGCTCATGCACGGCTTTCGGGGATCCTCTGCTTCTGCAAAAGCAGGCTCAGCACTCGCACCCGGATCTCCTTGATCTTCATGCCATAGACCAGGGGGTTCAGCGTGGGGGGCACCAGGAGATAGACGTTGGCCAGCAGGATGTGAACGTGGCGGGGGACGCTGCTGCCGAAGCGGTGGGTGTAGAAGGAGAAGAAGGACAGCGTATAGAAGATGGTGAAGACACAGATGTGGGCACCACAGGTGCTAAAGGCCTTGAGGCGGGCGTCCTTTGAAGAGATTCTGAGCACCGCCCGGAGGATCAGGACATAGGACACCACGATGAAGATGGCATCTAAGCCAGTGGTCAAGGAAGCGCCCACTAAGCCATAGATGTTGTTGATGGTTATGTCAGCACAGGCCAGCTTGGCGACACCCATGTTATCACAGTAGGTGTGGGGGATCACATTGGTCCGGCAGTACGGTAACCTCTTGAGGAGGAGAACCACCGGTGTCACTACACAAACACTTCGGGCAACCAGCCCCATGCTAATTTTCCCGATGGCCCAGGTGGTCAAGATGGCCGTGTACCTCAGGGGCTCACAGATGGCGATGTACCGATCGAAGGCCATGGCCAACAAGATGGCCGACTCTGAGAGGAAGAGACAGTGAACAAAGAATATCTGTGTGAGGCAGGCCTCAAAGGCGGTCTCCCCCGCGTCCCACCAGAATATGGCCAACATCTTGGGCATTATGACCAAGCAGAGGATAATGTCATTGAAGGCCAGCATGGCCAGGAAGAGGTACATGGGCTTATGGAGGCTCTCATCTCTCATTACGATCAGGATCAAGATGCTGTTACCCAAGAGAGCCACTAAGAACATGGAGCAGAAGGGGATGGAGAACCAGAATGAAGCCGGGATTTAAATAATCCCTGCTTCATTAAAATAAAAATGGCCACCGTGCTGTGCCGACAATCAGCTGATCCGGCACAGCATGGCAGTCTAGACACGGCGCGGTTGACAAGGGAAGCCTCTGTTGACCTCTCCGGTATGCCTCGTGAAACAAGGCGCCTCATTCCACGAGGACTTAGTTCAAATTAACATTTCACTGCTGCGTGTAGCCGTGCGGCAGTGAGTTTGGTATAGTGAAATTTCAAAATGGCGACTGGACGGGAACATGCAAATAAAGCCCAGGATATTTAAATCTCGGGCTGCATTTGCAACTCCGGTCGCCTCATTTGCCTACCTAGCTCGAATTAA